ATGACCACCAGCCAGGCGAATTTCACGAGGGTGGACCAGAGCATAGCCTCTCTGGAGGCAGGACAGAGGAACCAGGGTGCTATTCTGCAAGATTTACAGAACCAAGTCGGTGCCCTAGCGCGCCAACTTACTGCCTGGGCCCCGGGGACTCTACCTGCCACCACCATCCCCAATCCACGGGAGCCGCACGAGTACAAGATGCTATCTTCACCAGGAGTGGCAGGCCCACATCGGCTGATCCTGCCCCGACCAGGCAGGAGGAACCACTACTTGCTTCAGCACTTCCAGCCGATGATACAGAAGTGCGGGTGGAGAAGGAAGCCCCTGCTCCCAAGCCACAACCAGTGGTTAAGGAGCACGTACCTCAGCTTCCCTTCCCCACTCGCCTACACAAAGACAAGCTGGAGACGGAGTTTGCCAAGTTTATGGCAATGTTGAAGCAGCTCAACATCAGCATACCGTTTGTGGAGGCACTGTCGAAGATGCCCAAGTACGCAAAGTTCATGAAAGACCTCCTCACCAACAAGAAGAAACTTGAGGATCTCTCGACAGTGCTGCTGAGCGAGGAGTGTTCTGCTATCCTGCAGAACAAGCTGCCCGAAAAGCGCAAGGACCCAGGGAGTTTTACTATCCCTCTTACTATTGGCAGCATGCATGTAGGCAAGTCCTTGGCGGACCTAGGCGCTAGCATAAACGTCATGACATATAAGTTGTTTAAGAAGCTAGACCTAGGTGAACTTAGACCTACTAGGATGAGCATTCAGCTAGCTGATCGTTCCGTTATGCATCCTAGGGGTATCATAGAGGACCTGGTTGTTAATGTGGGTGCATTCACATATCCTGTTGACTTTGTTATTATGGATATAAATGAGGATGTGGATGTGCCTTTGATTTTAGGGATACCATTTCTTGCCACCGTCAAGGCACTTATTGATGTGCATGATGGTAAACTGATACTGCGTGCTGGAAATGAACATGCTACCTTTGCTGTGACTTAATTCGATCACTGTGCTATGATTGTTGTCACACCTGTGCATGCTATTTCTGACCCGGTACATGAGTCTGTCGTGTATCCTTCTGCACCTCTCACTCCTTCGCCGCCGCTCCCTCCAGCCTCACCACCGAATAAAAAGCTCAAAGAGGAGTGGCGGCCGAAGCAGCAGGTGCCTAAGCCTACTCGGAAGAAAGGTGGAGTCCACTAAGAGCTGGTCCCACCTCCTGCATCACGATCACCCTGGCCATCCGCGTACTCACTTGCCTGCATTCTGCCCGATGGCCAGGTCGAGCTAACCAATGCTAGTGGTTGCACACGTCGGGTGCACGGTCACCACCTGAAGCTGTACCTCAAGAGCGATGTGGATCCGCTCTTGGAGGCACCTGTTCCTGCACCACGCTGATTATCCACCATGGGCGTCCAGCTACAAGACGGTAAAGAAGCGCTTGTGGGGAGGCAACCCCACCACGGTTTTCATTTATTTCTTTTGTTTTGGGTCGGATTGCTAATAGCTTTGGCTTTGGTTTGTTTTCTTTTGTCTTGGATGATGTAATATTGGGCTGACCATTGGACCTAACGTATTGTGTTGGAGTTCTTTTGTTCCCTTTAGTTGTGCCTGTGTACCTGACTGGTCCTCTCTCCAGTCCGCTTCATTCCGACTGGTCCATTTCCAGTCTCCTGCAGTCCGTGCACACCGGTAACATCGTTCCCCTTTCCTTCCCTCTTCTCCATTGAGGGCAATGTCGAACTTAAGTGTGGGGGGGGATGTTTATCTTTTGACTGCATTAGATCTGTTTGTGTGCTTGGAGCCTAGTCCACTGTCCAAATTTTTAAATTTGAGGGCTCCAAGTACGTGTTCCTTGCAATTGCCTGCTCAGTATGCTTTGAATTGACAGTCTCTATAGTAATATGCAACCTAGGGATGTAGTGTAGCACTATGGAGGATGTTGATGCATTTAAGAAGTCTCATTTCTTCTTCATATTGTGTTGGTTGATTGAGTGAATTAGTGATCCTAGGACCCTTGAATGGTGTGGGGTTGTAGACTCTCTGCCTGTCATGGACTCTTGTATCATGTGTTCAGAATAACAGGTGCTCGAAAATGTGCTTTAAAACAACGTCTCCCGTGCGAATAGGGCGAAAATGTGTAAGGGGAGACGGGAATCCGTTCCCAATTTCCACCTGCTACCTCCAACCCCCTTACATGTCTTTCCCCGCACGAAGCTCGAGACATCCGCTCCTAGCATGGCCGGTAAGAGCCGGGCTTCCGCAAAACCTCTGCTAGGTGGGAGCCCCCATTTTCTGAAAAGCAGGTTGGAACCTTTGAAAAAAAAAGAGAAACAAAAAAAAAAACAAGCAAAACAAAGAAAGAAAAGGTAAAATCCCCGGTCGGGGATTATTGGAGCAGAGAGGGGCCCGGGCGTGAAGGTAAAATCCCCGGTCGGGGATTATTGGAGCAGGCCGGGGATTCTTCCTCGACCAACACGCGTGTTTTAAATAATACCCGGTCGATACCCAAAATACCCGACCGGGTATTTCGACCGGGTATCGCGACAGGCAGCCAATTTAAAGGATAAGAAGGCCAACATTCAAGGGTTCCGAGTTTTAGAGAGACAGAACGATTCCTAGAGAGAGGAAGCGACAAACCAGAGTTTCCAAGTGCCATAGCTTGATCTTCATCACCATTGGAGCCCGGCTTGAGCTTGGAGAAGTGCCGATTGTCAACCAGGAGCAGAAATCCATCTTCACAGTATGATTTCCGTGTCTGAATCTGCTTTTGCTTCTTTCTCCATGGAGTAGTTTCCCCATTCATCTGGGTATGGGGAACTCTAGATTTGTATGCTAGGTCTGATTGTATGAACCCAAGTACAGAGTTTATGAATTGATTATATTCGATTGAGGTTTGAACGATTGAATGACTTGAATCCTGATCAAATTCCTGTTGTTTCTGCTTTGACCTAGAATGAGAATATCTGCCTAGGTTGATAGAGTATCCTTAATTGAAGGTAGTGAATTGGCGACTTTAGTCGAGGAGCCAATTCGCTATTTTGTATCGAATTCAATTCGGTAGTGGAGGTTTGGTTCGTTAGGGCCTCAATCTGTTTACTCCGGTGGAGGTTAGTCGCCCGCTAGAGACTCAGATTGAGAGGGTCTGGAGACCTTTAGTCGAGACTTCAAACTGTTTAAGAACCTTCCGCAGTATAATTTTCATGAAACTGAACTTGGTAAATTGCAATCCGGCTTAACTGCAGTCTAGGGGGAACCATATCCGGGTGACCTCTCTTGACTTGAAAATAACCGTTTAGTTGCTTTGCTTGTTTGTTAATTTAGACTTTCACTAAAGTTTCATTGCTAGATAACAAGAATTCACCGAGTAGTCATCAAATCTAGGACCCGGGTTGACATTAAAACCCAAACCCGCTATACTACGCTTTAGGAAGTGGTTACACTTGGCCATTTTCTAGAGTGACAGTAGGAGTGAGTCAGTACGCTTACCTTACCGTACGCCCGTCCATTTTTGTTATTTAGATCTTGAATTAGCCGGAGTTTGGGGCATGATATTATATCATAACTTCTTATGGGTGAACCCCAGTTAGTGATGGCAATTTGAACCCGTCCCACGAGTATTACTCGACCCGTGATGGGGTGGGGGCGTGGGGCATGGGTTTCAACTTCCGACCCACATTGCATCGCCCCGCCCCGTTCGTGGCCCATTCTATCGCAATTTCTTACAGTAACTATTCATATCTCTCCTATTTTGACTTTTCTTCAACTAGTTAGACTCGATCTTCAACTAATTAAAGTCAATTACCCATTATATTATCACTATTTTCATTTATAAAGTATTTTCCCCTTCGTTTTATCATCAAAAGTAAAAAAAAAATGGTCTTTTGTTTTCTTCCAAATAACATGTAAGAGTGGGTCGGCCCGCCCCCACCATGTACCCGTGCGGGTATTACCCGCCCCAACCCACAGTAGCATGGGGCAGTGCATGGGTATTGAGGTACCTGCACCGCCCCCGCCCCATTGTCATCACTAACCACAGTCCCCAATTCTCTAACCCAAATCATAAGATTCATTTAATCCCAAAACTTAAAACAACGATTCCGATTTGTCTGAATTATCCAAGTACAAATAATAGGTGTGAACAAAGACGTATAGCATATGCTAGTCGTACGCTAACCTTTGCCATTATATTATATATTTATTTTGGAGAAGTCACTCATCTATTTATTGCTCCATCCGGAACAAATTTAACTTCAAAAACGATATTGTGCAGTTGGGTCTAACCCCACGTGATTTTACTTTGATCACCATATTAGTTCCAATATGTAAAAACATGTCGCGTTTGATAAAACGGGCAATATTTTAGTTAGAAAATAGAAATAGTGTTCCCATGTTACATTTGGGTTTCCTTTCATTCTCCTACGTTTTTCAAACTTATGTTATTGTCAAAATAAAATGAAATGAAATATATGTTTTTATATTTCCCTCAAATTTAAGTCAAAGTTACTATTTACCCTAAACCCCACGAAAAAAATGAAATTTAAATTCATACATTATAGGGTTATAGGTATAATATGTCCTTCTACTATGTCGTTTTATCAAACATGCCTTTCTACTATTTGTTACATCAACATGCCCCTGTACTTTAAAAAAATGATCAAACATGCCCTTCTGTTAATATTTTCATCCAAAAACAGTCAATCACGGTCGTACCTTGGTATGGGCGACACAAATGTCTAAAATATCTCTGGTAATTTCACTTTAGAATTTGTTGTGTTCTTTTGTAGAGCCAATTACCTCTAATAATTTCACTTTAACGAGACCTAGAAAAATAAAATAGGGGACAAAACTGACATTTTTCATCTCATTTGCCGATGTTGGGTCGTCTACATCTCGATTCAACCATGGTTGACGATTTTTTTAATGGAAAATTTAACAGAAGTGCATGTTTGATAATTTTTCCAAAGTACAAGGACATATTTGATGTAAAAAATAGTAAAAGAGCATTTTTGATAAAACTACATAGTAGAGAGTCATATTATACCTATAACCCTACATTATAAGTTTAAGTCAATTACTGATCACAAGTGAAAATCAATAGGACATTAAAATTCATCTCAGCCTACGCCTATCCAATACTCAATCAAGTAAACTACAGCTTCCACTAGCAGTCTAGCACAAGTATATCCAAATCTTGCATCTTTTTACAAAAAAAAAAAAAAAAAAAAACTCTCGTATAGAATATAGATCAGTCCCTGTTTCTGAACAGCAGGTTTCACAAGCCATACTCTTACCATTATACTCTGTATCATCACCAGAAAGTTGAAGGTGATTCATGCGATTCCGATTCAGAACTTTCATACATGGGAGATTCATAAACACTGGAGCCTTCCTCACTCGCCCCCTCGTTACCTTCGTAAGCAGGTGGATCTTCATACGAGTATGACTCGCCAGCATCAGCCTTTTCGTCGTTCTGAGTCTCACCATCTATGGTTTCAACAACAGTGACCAAGTAATGCAATCCACTCACCACGTCATACACCATCAACCCGATTCTCCCTCCAATCCAACTCCCCAAATGACTCCCAAGCAGATACCCAACTCTTCCAATTCCTTGCTCCCCATAAAACCCACCTGCATACGCTCCAAACAAGGTCCCAGTACCCCTCAGGAACCCTTCGGTTATGGTCCCACCGTAGTAGACCGCCTCGAAGAAGTCCCATCCGGAAGAAATGATAGGCCCTACGATCCTTTTGGTCTTTCTAGTAGCCAACTTAGCTGCCTTTGCACCTTCCTTTTGTGCTTGCTTAGCAACATCTTTAGCTGATATCCCTTGCTGCACTGCGTCGTGTATTGCCTGCTCGATCGCCAAATTCCTTGCTTTCTCAACGTGTGAAGATCTCATGTTGTAGACATAGAGCTTCACACCTTCCTTGACTGTGCATGCTAGGGTTCCTGTGCTCATGTCGAAGCAATCAAAGATTGTAAATTTTCCACTTTGAGATGATGAGTCTTCTCCCACAAGCAGCCTGCATTTTTCGGCTAGAACATGGCATGGACAATGATCATCAGCTAAGAGACAATGCAACGTGGTGGGAGCAGTAAGGCAACAAGATAGTACATGAAGTCTGTTATGAAGTGCACTATGCAATAGGATCCCTTTAGACCGAATTCAAGTAAGGCACAGCCGAAACTCATTCCATCTGTTCAAAGATCCCAACTTGATGGAGGCCTTAAAACATCCAATACACAACAAACTCACGAACAATAGTACCTAGTTCATTGTTTTGGATGAACAGACATTGCAAGATAATGCATAGCCCAAGAGGGAATCTTTAGTCACAAGAAATACAGGACAAAACAGTTCAATGCAATCAAGCAGAAGAATCATATGCGGGTTTTAAACATAAGGTTATTGTCTTATAATAGTTGGACAGTCAACTATTAATCGAAGGAAACCAAGATTAGAACACACGAGATTTAGGCCATCAAAAGGATTTGACACCATTATCCAGATTCAATTTATTTCAATAACTCAAGTCATTGGGAAAGAATGAGATCCAAGCAATGAGTCCTATATTCCCTTATGAACCGAATCTGTTCATTGAGGAGGGAGAACAATGGGAGATTAACCCAGACAAGGCATCTTAATTTGATCAAAATAAATCATTTGAATCATTTTAGTTAGGCCAAGCATAAGTGATATAACCCCATTACACATTCACACAATTAGCAGAAAGAAGAGATCAATTTCAACATAGAAGTTCAACGCTAAACCAAATCTCAGTCATTCACCATTAACCAACTGAAAACTAGTCCTCGAGTTCAGAATAAAACCTCTCCATCAGCAAAACCTCTCCATAAGCGTGATTTGTCAACCAAATCTCTTAGCCCAGATCCAGTAACTATCTAAAGCCATCAGCTTTCAAGGAAGAAGCCTGGAAACAAAGACAAATCTAAACGGTAGTTCAACATTACCAGCAATACTGAGAGCGATGGTCCCGACGATGAAAGCAAGAAGTTGAACCCGCCTCCTCTGGAAATCCATCTTTCTGCTTTCTGGGTTAGAAGGGAATGATAGAGAAACGGAAGCAAGTCGCGATCTTTACTTGAACTATTTGACGAAGCAAAGAAGATTCTTTGCCCGAGTTTGTGGCCAAGTGCGACTTGGGAATAATGGGGAAAATTTTACAAAAGCCAAGAGAAAATGAAGAAGAAACGGCCGCAGCAGACGTTTTGCCTTTCGAAACTGTTCTGGACTTCTGGTCTTTTCTTTTTCTTCTCCATCATATTATATTGGACCAGCCACACAATCTTTGAAGGAGAACACAACTTTTCTCATCTCCTCCAGACCAGAGCCATTCTTCTTCCAGAAATTTGATTATATAAAAATAACACAATTTTAATACGTTCGCTTATAAATTCATTTTTAAACTCATAAATTCAATTCGACCATATCCTAATAACCACGATCAATCTCGTATTTTTTAAAAAATCTAAATTTTTTGCACAAACATTCATCTTTCATATGGCAACAAGCTAACTATCCCTAATCAGTAACAAAAATAGTACAGTATTTGGGCCGAAGAGTCTGTTGAGCTGGGCCATCTACGGAGCTTAGAATTTGTAGATACTGGCCCAGAACGTGGTTTGAGAGATGTGGTTTTTGACTTGGGATGACAAAAGGCCTCATTGGGCCTAATAAAAGCCCTTCGCACGTATAGGATAGGCCTCCTTCACCTAGGCATCTTCATGTTATGTTTTGTTTATCGCTCAGATTGATTTTTGGGTTTGATTTCGCTAGATGGTTATGCTGTTCTTGATTGCATTGTTGACTTTGGATCTTGTATTCATTTCTTGTTTATGAGGAACCTTATTACAACATAAAAGACCTCTCATCCGAGTCAAGTAAATAGATACTTTTCCAACCTAATTGAAGCCTCGAGACTCGAGAAAATAATTATACTTTAGTCGTGAGAATGTTATCCTTTTGTTTAAGGAGTGTGGAAGGAAAATTATCATAATTTTTGGGATCCGAATTTGAGATTCCAGGCTGAAAACCAACGATATGACCACAACCTCATTCACAAAATAATATTTTTTTTTTATCTAATATAATGGTAATAGGTAAAAGCCGAACATTTTTTTTATAAAGGCATCACAAGATGTGAAAGCCTAACAAGCAAGAACGACAGTGCTATCAAAGGAAAAAAACAATATCAAGGTTGTTGACACAACCAATGCAGTTAAAAGCGCGATTCTACCTAGAAGCGGAAATGGGTAAAATCGTAAAACGTAGAATCAAAGCGTAAAAGCGTAAGTTTTTGACGCGCCCGCTAAAATATGTTAAGTACAACATATAGTATGTAAAATGTGAGTGCGTAGATTTTAGATAAGTGAATAACTAAATGAAATTCATAATTAAAATGTAATATCTAACACATAAACTAATTTGTGTTCACTCAAAAGTAGAGAAAACTCATAACATCTTAATACTAAGCTCATAAACGTAGATCGTACCCGTAAACGAGCTTGAGAATCCAAATTCTCATAAGCTGGTTTGATTTTACATAATTACATATGATCAATTACCCATAAACTTTTATCGTAACCCAGGTAAGAGCCACAGGTGAAGATTAAGGGAGAAGACTGGTAGAAGGTCAGCGGCTGTTGAGAATACCATTAGGTGTCTTTTCAACCTAATGTGAAGCCCCTATCTCGACATTATTTGTAGAACGAGTGATGAATCATGTTTTATTTTTTTTTATTTTTTTGCTGATATGTCTCCAAAATTACATCATTTTGGGCCAATTAGCACATTTTTATGAGATTAACAAAATCGTATAAAACACTTCAAAATCGTGATTTTACCGATTTTAAGCGATTTTACCCACGTTTTTACCAGTTTTTGTGACTAAGCGACTTTAGATAGAAACTGAAACGTTTTGGTGGCCTGGATACCTAAAAACGTAAGTTTTTACATTTTAATTCGCGATTTTGACTGCACTAGACACAACAACTTTTAACTTTGTGGATTAGTTTTAACTAAACTTGCAAACCCAACCCCATACTTAGGTATAATCATATCGTGTATATATAAGGAAGTAGTTAAATACTTATATATGAATTTCCCCCCTAATAATTCGAGTTATGAGACCATTTGATTTTTGATATGGTATCAGAGTTTGTTTATTTTTTAGGTCACGTGTTCAAGTCCTCACGACCGTTTATTCTAACCGTTGTCTTAAAGCACATGGTATGCAGAGGTTTATGCAAACTGTAAGCCCATGAGTTACATTGCCTTTCGTTTAAAAGGGGATGTTGCATGTAAAAAGGTGATTAAGTATCATACATGAACATCTCCCGATTGCGTAAACTATATTTATTGACAAGGATTTTTTTTTGTGATTATGGCCCCACATGCACTCTCGGGCCTTGGCTATCCAATTCATAGGGCTCTTCGACGGGATTATAGGTTCCTGCGTATAACGCATCGGTTATCATTTATCATAAATAAATTCAAAAAAGTGAAAACACATCAGAATTGAATTAAAAACATTGGTTACGTGTGTTTGTATAAAGAAATAGTTAACATTCATATATAGACTTCCTCCCATAAATCGAGGTATTAAAATTGATTGATTAATGACATCAGAACTAGTTTGGCCTTGAAGTCGCGTGTTTGATTCCTACACAATATTATCTTAAAGCATACAGTATATATGATGGAAAACTTAAAATCCATGAGATGACTAGGGGACATGTAAGAAAATATCTAAAATTCATATATGGATCTTTCTCAACAATTTGAGTTATTATTACCAATTAATTAAAAGATCTAATTGTTGTTATAAAAAAATTCACCAATTAAAATCCATCCAATGATTAAATAGAAATCAATTGATTTGAGCCAAGGATATGAACCTACAATACAAAGCCGGCCATGACCGTGTGTGAATGCACCGGTCGAAAACATATATCCCATTTATAACCAAAGAATTAAATTCAAGATTTGGAAACATAAACAAAGAGAGCCAAATCTCAGATAGAGAAGCATTTTATTATTATTATTGTCATTACATGTGAGAAACGGAATCTCCCTTGAAGTGGCATGAACTAAGCCATATGCATGGGGTGGACCAGCAAACAAAATGTCGTCTCTCCATTCAATTCAATTCAATTCAATTCAACTTCCAAAGAAGAGAATCAAACCTATACATAAACATCAAACATTTCAATTCTAGAGAAAGGAACAAAGAGGCCAAACCGTCCATGCCTCCATCAATCGATCCCATGCTTCTATTCTATCTATATCACTTTCTTTATTCTTTGGAGTGTGGACACCATGCTATACCCTTATAGTCGTGTGGTTGACACACACCACATCTCCTTCAACTTGGGCAAAAAGAAACTCCTCAATGTTCCCAAGAAATCGGGGTATCGGTTCCACCCGGATAAGGTCACAAGACGAGACGAAACTTTCCTTATCAAACAAGCATACGTATAGATATCGTCCTTGTAAAATTAATATCTATAACATGATGTCTCACGGCTCAAAAATGAGATAATAAAAACGTGTGGTTCTTTGTTTTTGTTGAGTGTGGACACCATACCATCTTTTATTCGTGTGGCGGGCATACGCCATAATATCTAACCCCTGCTTTAATTAATTCTCTCCCTCCATCCAAAATTGGCAAGAAATTTTCTTAAACAATATGTCGAAGAACTTGACATTGATCGAATCCAATCACACCACGATAAGTCACTATCGAGCATGAGTTGCTCCAGAAAATTAGAAATCAAAACATTTATGAAATCTATTGATGAAATCTGAACACCGCAATCGCAAGTGACATAAAAAAAACTCTTCGAATCAAACAGATGTAACTGCCCGTATTAGACTAAATCGAAAGATAATCCCGTCAGATAATTAGTTTTCTTATGTTTTATTCTTCTTTAATTAACTTCTAAACAATGGACCCAAGATTAATATTCAAGACGTACAAACCCTCTTTAATATATATTATGTTTCTTGTGGTGCCATACATATATATATGCATGAGGCATGCACGCCCACCGAATCTGATCACATCCCCATCCAACAAGTTCGGGCCAATAATTTTATTGGATCCCATAATATTCCCTTCATATAACACTTCTTCTTCTTCTTGACCGATCGATTTTCTTCCCTTTCCCTTTCTTCCATCTTGAACGTTGTTGCGTGAAGCACGCGAAGAAGTAACCAAAACCGGAAGTCCCGTGGCGGCAACGAGAACACAAATATTAATAAAACTACAATATGAATCAGCACCCTGGTCATGTGATTGAGATTTGGTTTCGGTTTTTTGCTTGCGAAACTGGAACAGGTTGTTTGTTTGTTTCTACTTTTGGTTTCCACGTGTCGGAATACATCATGCAGAGACGATATGGTTGTGGTTCATGCTCGATTTGGTAACGTGACCAACATTTCCTCCTCGTTAGTCTCCATCTCATGACCAGGTTTCGCATCTTAAGTGGTAACTACTAACTAGGCACAAAATGGACTATTGTTTTCATGATAAAAGTAAGAATTGCAGACGGTAAAATTGCGGATGAGGTGTTTAACTTGTTCGATTTCGAGTAAGCTTGAAACCTTGGTATAGAAGTAACCAGCTTTTCGCGTACATATGAGAGAGACGCGTCGCGATATGATTAAAAGTACGCATTTGGTTGGATAAGTAGAAGAAGTAGAGGTTACACTTTTTTCTTTGACAAAAGATAATCAGATTGATTTAGAGGATAGTTAGTAAATATTCCATTTAATACACATATATGTATCCGTACATATTTTATTCGTTTAAAACTTCCGTATCCGTATTATTGTCAAGCCGTTTCATTTTTCCTCGTTCTTTTGATGGCTCTCATACTAAACACGTATAAAACCCGTATAACACGTTTAATATCCGTATTTAATGAATTAACTTGTTAATTATACAATTATTTATATATTTAATTATTTTTAAAATAATTTATTTAATATATTTATGATTATTAACGTACTATTAAACGTAACATTAGCTTATAGTTGAAGTAAAATACCCATACGTATTTTATATGTAATCTTCCCGTATCGTATTTTACTAACTATGATTTAGAGAATAGACAATTACATCATGGAATTTAGCCAGACACGGAAATAAAAAAAGACTTATAGTCAAGTACAAAGAGAGGGCCTTTCTAGCCACCAAATAGGCTACCATATTGTTACGTCGTCCTACAAATCGAACACTAAACCCAGAGTGAATGGCAAAGTAATTCACTACTTCTTGAAGAATAGCCCCCCATCTGATTGTCGCTGGTATCAGCCCGATTGATCTTCTCAATAATG